TTTATTGCACGCAAGTCGCCATGTTTCTTTGTTCATTTTGCACTATCCTGTAAGGTAAGCTGTAGTTATTGCGCTGTTCCTTGTTAGTAAATTGTTGCACGTAATACCATCCATGTATTTTCACCTGTACTCCATACTGTTAGGTAAGGTGTTGAACTACTTTTTGATGGAAGTTTGAGGTATTTCTTTTTACTCGTGTCCGTAAGGAAAATGTTACTACTAAGAGCGGCCGATGTGTTGCAGCCGTTCAAGCGGCTGCGGAGTAAGCATATTGTAGGGAAAAGTATTTGTTTTCTTTGTTTATTTTATCAGTCACGTGGGAATGTACTTTTATTTAAATTATTTATTTTGGGGAAAGTTGGGTAACACTTTACTTAAAGCACTGTTGTATAATGCATTATAGATACCTTCATAATGCATTATAGTGCATTCATAAAGTATTATAAACATGGCTATAAATATGTATAAAAATGCATAATACATTACAAACATGTGTATTATGCATTATGAAAGCTTTATGAGGCTCTCATCTATAACGCACTATACATACCTTTATAATGCAAGATAATGGTCGGTATAAACATTAAGGATGCTTTGTACTGCATTATTAAAGTACCTATAGTGCGTTATAGATGAGAGCTTCATAAGGCAGTCATAATGCATTATAAGCATGACTATAATGTGTTATGCCTTTTTATAAATATTTATAGCCATGTTTATAATACTTTATGAATGCACTATAATGCATTATGAAGGTATCTATAATGCATTATACAACATTGCTTTAAGTAAAGTGTTACCGAAAGTTGTTTGAGGTAGTCTCCAGAGTATCTTTGTTTGGAGTTATATTATTTTGTGTGTTATCTCTCTATTCAGTTTTGATTTCCGGCACAATGTTTTGTTATTTATGATGTTCATTTTTCACTATCCCGTAAGGTGCCAGAGCCAGCCAGACCCCTGTTGTGACATAAGGGGGACCGCTGGTGCCTGTGAGTAATTAAAGTGCCGCTTTGAGTCTCAGCCGCAATCCAGAACCTTGCGTCCGATGCTTCTTGCCCTCTGCAACACTCCCCAACATACATCGGAAACACAACACAGAGTACCAGGGAGGTGTAGAGGGATTCCAGCAGCCAGCAGGTGCCCAAAACCGGGCATTACCAGCAGTGGGGGGTTACATTTGGTTTGGTAACTTGGAATCACATATAGTGCATCACTGATGATCAGACATGTAGTGAAATCAGGAAGCTATCCACATTAGTCTTAAGTAAAAATAGGCTGCAGTCAGAACAGCAAATCAGCTCAACTATGTCCATTTTCGTTGATATTCTCATTCAAGAAAGATTTACTTTGTTTTAATTTTTGAAGTGTTATTTTGGAGTAATTCTATCAGGTTAATGTTTTACGGTATGTTAAATAATGACTGTACCCATTAACCATATCTGGCGTGTTGTGATGGGGACGTTAACTGAGGGAGAGCACGGTCTCACGTGCTGCGACCGACGGGAAACCCGTAGTTACCTCAGGACGGCAGTCGGGGCGGACGGAAGATTCAGCCGTCTGAAGTTAAACCGTATTTTTTGTGAGAAGTAAAAATGTGTTACGGCTTTATTTTTAATTACTTGTGTAATTATTTACTTAGGTGGAAAGCACTTAGTTCAGCTTTTAATGATTCTTTTCCCGTGTTTTAATGGGGGTGAGAGAGACACCATTTGCTAATTAGCTTGTTGATTGTCAGGTATAGCAGTTCATCATCTTAGTTAGGAAATTTTAATTCTTGCTTGTTGTATTTTGATCATTTTATCTAATGTATGTTGCTAATGTGAGTTATGACTTTTGTTGTTTTTAACTCTATGCTTATTTTTTGCTTTCGCTGTTATGTCTCCCATCTCCGTTTACATGGTTATTATATATGCTGGTTTAATCTAATCGTGTTAGTTATGATAAATTACAGTAAAGTGAATTTATTTAATTGTATTATATGTTTTATGTTACACATTTACGCTTTGAGCAGAGCTGAACCAGGACATTAATATGATAGAATAGGAAGCCTTTATTGTCAGTGCACAGGTAGCAAATACAATAGAGACAGAAATATATAAAATGTACATATACAGGGGAGGGGAAAAGCCCCCCCCTCCCCTAATCAGGATTACATTTTACGTTTTAATCAGACAGAAAAACAGTCATTTTGCATGTTTGTTCAGTTTGCTGAACCCAGTCACTTATTTTGTTTGACACTCGTTACACTTCAGACAGAGTAAAAAGGGTTATACTGGTTAAAAAGCAGATTTTACCTTTTTTGCATGGAGAAGCAGCGACATGTGACACTCTGATAAGGTAAAAATGATTCCTCCAGCACAAAGTGAGCTATCCCAGCATGCACAGGGACACGGAGGAGTTTCCATAAGAAACCCCAAACCCTGGGCAGAGGGGTTCAGTGAATGAGGAGGTGAAGCTGTACAGGAGGGTCAGTCCATCAGAGGAGACTCTGTAGAAGGACAGAGTACCAGCCGCCCAGTCCAGATACACTCCTACTCTGCGGGAGCCTGAGGGTTTTATCGATATGACAGGCTGTTCAGCAATGTGACAAACAGAGTAACTGTCAGGAGTGCAGCGCAGCATCCATGACTTGTCATTGGCTCCAAGCACACAGTCAGCACTGTCTCCTTTCCTCCCGATTCCTTTATAAGTCATTCCTATCAGGGCTCCACCTCCACTCCACTCAGCCTCCCAGTAACAGCAACCAGTTAGACTCTCTCTGCACAGAACTTGGTTCCAGTAGTCAAATCTCTCTGGATGATCAGGATATGGCTGCTTTGTCCCATGTGTCACCTTCCTGTTCCCCCGTGACAGAGACAGGTATGTGTATGCTGTGTTGGGGTCCAGCGTCAGCTGGCAGGAGTCTGTAGGCAAGAGGAAGAGCGATTAATCCCATCACAAAGCTCAGCATCTCCATCATTATCACTGTCACACCTCACACACTCACTAACACAGAACTCGCTCCAATACACACATTTTATTCCCAATATACTCATGTAGCCGCCCGAGTCTGCGGCGCTCCAGCTGCCCCCTGCGCTGTGAGACGCCGCGCTGAGAAGCTCGCTGGGGATCGAACTGCACTTTAGCCTGCGCTTTATTATTCTGCACGATACATAAAATAAAAAACAGCGCAGCATCCCCTAATGAAGCAGGAATTCAAGTATGTGAAATAGCTCAGGAAATGTCGGACGCGCGTGCGATGACGGCAGGAAAACGCGCTGAAATGCTGCATGTGCTAAACTAACAGGATGAATTTCAGGTTAATAAAACTATAAATAACATTTATCAAAAATATTACCTCTTAAAACCCGACAAAAGCAAAATGCGTTGATTTTAGCACATAATTTCAGGCTCGTAACTTTGGATACCAAAATTACCACTAAAAGTGAGTTTGCCTTTACATCAAAATATGAACATCCTGGGAACCACTTAACACACTCACCCACCTCCAGCAGCGCTAAGCGCAGACTGAAGAGACGCTCGGTGTCACAGCCAGTTTGGGGGAGACTACGGGTGGTGACTTAGGACAATACTAACGAATGTCAAAAAGGGTACACACAGCACATGCCCAAAAGGAACTAACATGAAGGTTTTTTGTTTGAAATTACCAATTAAAATTACAATTTTTAAATAAGGAACTAGTCATCTTTAGACGCAAACCTACCCTGTTTGTAAAAAATGAAAGAAGAGACTGACAAATGAAACTAAGTTTTTGTGAATCTTTGAATATTGTCTAAAATCAAACTCACAAATTCACCTGAGCACATGCAAATCCATCTACATACAAGACAAAAAAAAACACACATCACAATAATTGTGTGAAAGTATAATCAAATACATATACCTGAACAGTAAGAACAGTATGTAAACTAATTAAATTTTTTTGCACCTTTTTATCACCACTCCTCACCCCGTGTCTTGCGCTCTCATTGGCTGTAACTCATTATCAGCTGTGGCACTTTCACACCTACAGGATTTGGAGTCGTCAACAAAGTCTAGATATTTACTATACAAATATCTGCCGGGTGTCTGCGATGCAACAGCGCCTCTGTCGGGTCACATCTTTGAACAGTCACACATAGTGATCGAGCTCCGATTTGCCGGCACCAATCGAACACCGATTTTCCCTCCGATCAGGGGGTTTTGTCGGCGATCTCCAAAAACTGTTGTTAAGCAGATTATTGTGGCTAAAATCATGTAGTGTGAACTTAGCTTAAGGATGCAGATAAAAGGCCTTCATGAGTTGTTACTGTGTGGCACCAAAAGTTCCTGCTACCCAAACAAAGTGAGGGCAGCCTCCCTGCTTTCAGCATTACAGTGCATGCTGACATCTAGGACAGCCTGGGCCCTCACCCCCCCCTCTCACTGCTTTCAGCATTACAGTGCATGCTGACATCAAGGATAGCCTGGGCCCTCACCCCCCCCTCTCACTGCTTTCAGCATTACAGTGCATGCTGACATCAAGGATAGCCTGGGCCCTCACCCCCCCCTCTC